AGTACTTTTTTGCCTTCAACATAATGCAGATTGAAATCAACAAAATCAACCATTACATTTCAATCAATTAAACAAGCACAAATAAGAATTATGTTAACATCAATTAAACAAATCAACTTTTACAAATCACCTTTTACAAATCAATTAAACAATCAAAAAATAAGCAATAATTCTTATTTCCTCATCTACTATTGAATCAACTTTTGCAGCTCACTTCTGAGATTAACCTGCATAAACCAAACATTTGCTCAAACAACACTTTCTACACATCTAAAACCTACAAACAGCAAATTATTGAATTCTAGGTACTTAACCAAACATTTTCAAACCACAAGCCTATAAACATACCAATTGTTTATGGACATTTTTATAACGCGGATGCAGGTAGGTAGTGTCTCGTATATATCGATCTAGTCATATAATGCCGAAACCACAAGCCTACTGCAGCTCTATCTCTATCGGTGGGAGGTAGATACTTTATACTTCCTGTGATCAAACGGTCCAACGCCAAGCATACGAGAGGACCACAATCCCCTCTGGGTCCTTTCGTTTGTTGTGGTGCGGTCTCGTCTCTGCTAACTGTAATATTGAGCTTCTTTGGCTTCTTGTTTCCAGAACGAGTCCAATAATTTATCGCATCCAAGAAATTTAGCCAAATAAGAGCTCAATCCCTTAATAATATCTCTTAAATCAGCCAATGATATGTAATTTATCATGCTGTCATATACTATTGCCTTAAGGGATGGGATCTGAAGCTCGACGAGAAGCCAATGTTTACGTTCCAAAACAGGGATAAACACCTGCAATCATAAGTAATAATTCATTCATTTGCGCACTTATTTATGAATACCTTTAAACTCAATCTAAAATAAACACTAACCTTATCGACCTCCCACCATGCAGGATAAAGTTTAGCTTGTCCATTGCCCAACGCAAATGATTCATCTCATTGATTCTTCAAGTGAACGACGTTAAAAGACGTCGGCATAATTGTATATCGTGTATTTATTTTATTTTCCTTAAGTTTCCTAATTATTAGAAGACGTGACACCCACGCATCGATATGCTGTTTTACAAAAAAAGACATATATTAGTAACTTACATAAATTTAAAAAAAATAATCAAATTAAAATATAAGAAAAATATAAGACTTACCCCTCCATCGAAATAGCCATTGTCTTCGACCCCTAATAATACGCCCCACCAAGACCGATCAAGCAACAAATAGATATCATCGTTGAGCTTGCATATGTCAGTGAAACACCCCTGGCTCCGCTCATGTAGATAAAAATCAACTGCAGTCTTAGCCCAAAGGGTGTTATCCAGAATTGTGTCCGGTAGTTGTTTCCTCTCCACTTCAGATACCGGTATGGTACTGGCCGGTAACTCATACGAGAGCCAACTTGAATCCATCATGTCCGGCACGTCAGAGGGTTTCTCAAGAATCCTACATATGACGCCATGTGAATCAGGCTCTTGAATGGTGGGAGGGACCTCTTCAACGATGACAGTGGCCTCTTGAACGGTGGGAGGGGACTCTCGAGGAATGATAGGGGCCTCTTCAACGATAGGAGTGGACTCTTGAGGGATGACAGGCGAGTCGGACTTCTTCTTGCGGTGTCTTCGCACTATTGGGGTATACAAAGACTTAATAGCACGTGCACGCCGTCTGATGCGTGAACTCTGTCGTGCAAGAAAAACCTGACGTAAAGCATCCACCTTATCGGTCCGCTAAATAATTAAATACAAATATTAGTAAATAAACATACATGATATTTAAACAGTGAAAACAAAGACAAATATATTTCAAACTTTCAACCAAAAGACAAAACAAAGACAAATACTAACTTCATAGTGTTAAAGAATACACAGTTTAGCAGAATGGCAGCAACGAATAAATTTACTTCAACCAAAAGACAAAACAAAAAGACAAATACTAACTTCACAGTGTTAATAAACAGTTTAGCAGTATTGGCAGCAACCGAATAAATTTACTAAGCAATCTAAGTGAAATGGTTAATTTAAGTGAAATTACGAGTAAATTTATCATCAAGTTAAATATGGAAAATCTTAAACTTACCTAGTTGCGTAGAGTATGAACCTCATTCTGCAACGATACTACCATCTCACGTAGAGCGGCAACCTCACCACGTAAAGTAGACACCTCCACACGCCATGCACTATCGTTATCGCGTAGAGTACCGATCTCCTCATGCAAGGCATTGACCTCATCACGTAACTCCCTTGACTCATCCCGTGGAGGTGGAGAACAGGGAGATAGAAGTCGTGGCATCTTTTCCGGTCGCCTATCATGAGGTGATGGTGGAGAAGAGGCTCGATGATGTGACGGGATAGGTGATGGCTCTAGTTGTAGAGGTGTATAGTCGGGTCGATCAGGTGATGGCTCTGGGTGAGGTGATGGCTCTCGAAGTGGAGGCTGCTCATCATTCGTGCCATCAAGAAAACACTGACTAGCTTGCCACCAATCATTGGCAAGCTCAGCCTCCGTGGGTGTCAGTCTCATTAATGGAATGTTGGCCTCCTAAAAATATAAAAACTCAAACAAAGTTAAACGTCTACTATTAATAACTTGTTTATAAATGATAGTATTTGTGTTAACTTACATTATTTATTGTCGCATATGGTATTAAGTCTTCCCAATCCAACAGACGTTTCCTCTTCCAGGAAATAGCCCTGGGAATATCATTTGAAGTTTTTATTGCATATGTCTTCATGGCGGGAAAGGCCTCGAATATCCAAATCTACAAACAATATAATAACAAACATTAGTAATTGTTAAATAATTAATTATAATTTTGAAAACATTATATAAATTCTTACCTTAAAGGCCCAAACAAAGCCTGACAAGTGTATTTCGACCCATCGCCCCGCAAACTTTTGCGGTCATCAAAGGCATACGACAACTTAGTCCAGGTAGCTTTCCATATATACGAACCCCACGGAAACAGATTCCATGCATTTAGGTCCTCTACCAATAATATTAGCTCCTGAGGAATAGGTTGTCTAGCCTCTCTGCCTAAAAAGCCGGCATACAAAAGTAGTAGAAGGCATACTCGGACAACATCGACGTCATTCATCCGAGTAACACCATCTTTCTTATTAAACAATTTCTTCACGTCGTCGACGTGTAAGTTTGGCTTCTCTATTGACTCATTAGGAAAAACCCTGGATAACCATGATGGGCGGGTGATATGACGAGTGTACCGGCCTACATCATCGTGTCCGAATCGTAGACCAGTGATTAAGCAGAACTCCTTCCGCCCAAAACAAGTATACGCCGGTGGAAAATGAAACCATATCTCTTCCTCACCACGTTGTATACTATCGGGTAGATCGCTAGTCATGGTCTGAAGCCACAAATGGGTCAAATTAGCATCTCCACCCGGATGCTGTACTCTCAACCATGGCCCGAAGCAGGTTTCCTCAAACAATTTTCTTTGTGCAAGTGAAAGCTTCGAAGCAATTGTAGTGGCTAGGCTAACTTTATTCCTTAATGTCAATGAAGCCGAAAAAAATTTCTACAAAAACAATAAACATACCAAGTTAGATATACCAAAAAACTACACTGTCAAGATATATACCAAAAACAATAAACATAAATAGTAGTTTATTCTTGAAACTAAAATTTGCAACACTGTTTTGTCTTTTGGTTGAAATGAAAATCGCAACGAGATAATGAGAATCGCAACGCAGAAATGACTATCGCAACGAGAGAATCGCAACGTGAAATGACTATCGCAACGAGAGAATCGCAACGCGAAATGAAAATCGCAATGCGATTTTGGTTTCGCGTTGCGATTTTTATTTCGCGTTGCGATAGTTATTTCCGCGTTGCGATTTTCATTCTCGAAACTATTCTTCTTCTGCATTACTTCAACCAAAAGACAAAACAAAGACAAATACTAACTTCACAGGCTAAACAGTTTAGCAGTATTGGCAGCAATCGAATGAATTTAATAAGAAATCTAAGTGAAATGGTTAATCTATTATTGAAATTACCAGTAAACTTATCATCAATCTCAATATGAAAAACCTAAAATAATGCAAAAATTTCAACAACAAAAAAAAAAACTAACCCTCGGAGGTTGATTTTCCATTTCTGAATGATTGTGAGGGATTTTTGACTGTGAATGGTTGTGAGGGATTTCGCCGGCGATGGGGACGGAAATCTTCGGAGATGGGGACGGATTTCGCCGTAGAGAGTGAGAGATGGAGATGGGACTGAGTGTTGTGATTTTAGGTTTGAGGTTATGAGTTGCGATTACTGTGGACGGTTCAGTTTCCGATTTATTAAGAAAAAATTCGTGTTTGGAATTTGAAAAAAAAATACGCGTTAATACGAATGGCGCTATGTAAATCGCATTGCGATAGTAAGATTCGCATTGCGATTTACGTATTCGCATTGCGATTTTCTTAATTCGCATTGCGATTTACTTAATTGCGTTGCGATTTACGTATTCGCATTGCGAATTATGAAAATCGCAACGCGAATACGTAAATCGCAATGCGAATTAGGAAAATTGCATTGCGATAGTCAGTATCGTATTGCGATTTTCCAAAATTCGCATTGTGATTTACTTATTCGCATTGCGATTTACTTATTCGCATTGCGAATTGGGAAAATCGCAACGCGAAATTGGAAAATCGCATTGTGATAGTCATAATCGCGTTGCGAATCTGGAAACTGATTTGCGATAATGGAGATCGCGTTGCGAATTAACGATCGCATTGCGATTTTGTTGGTCATTTTGGCAAATCTGGAAAAAGTTGGTTAAAATCGTATATTATATAGAATTTTTGATCACTGAGATTATTTTCTCATAAAAATATATAAATTTAAATGTTAAAAATAAAAATAACTAAAAGCAAACAAACGATCTTCAAACCAGCTCATTATTTGACTTCTTTTTTTCTTTTTTGTAATAAAGATTCGATCAACAAACAAACCGAAGTCAAAAGAGAGAGATAATGAAAACCTTAGATCGGGCCGGAAACAGCTGATAAACTGGGCCAGAAAGTACACGTTTTGGTCCTTGACAATCAATCATTGAGCTGAATCTGGAAAACAATTCAGAATCAGAGCCAGAAGGAAATCGGGAATACAAGGAAATCTGAAGATACAAGAACCTTATAAGCATTCGATTCTTTGTTTTTCTCGGATACAATAAACATTCGATTCTTAGAGGGAGGTAACTTATTTCTGCGCATGTTATTTGTTGGGGCTATCAATAATTTTTCGTTTTCATTGATTACATTTGGTGTATTTATAATCTTTATTTATAATTTTCAGGCATTATTGAATAATTTACTCACCCTGATTTGAATTAATTCTGTTGCCATCTTTCCACTGTTTGCTTCTTTTTTTTCCTTTCCCTTTCTTTCAGGCAAGCATAAAATTTTGATGTGACTTATGGATTTATGATATTGGTATCTGGAATACACCGTTTGTATGAGTTTCTTACTTTATGGGAATTCTAGAATTTGAAGTTCGGTGGTCGGTATGCAATGTTTTGATCCTTATGGGATGATTGTGACTTTGAGAGCTAGTTTGATTAATAAGTGGCTTCGAAAGAAATGAATAGTGAAGTTTGGAGATGGGGTTTAGGTTTGCTATACATATTTGCTGTTGCCGCTATATGGATAGCTGCTAGTTTTGTGGTACAGTCTGTTGTTGATGCAGGTGTTTCACCATTTCTAATAACATTCATTTGCAATTCATTATTCATTGTTTATATTCCCTTGGTCGAAATCGGGCGGTATCTAGAAGATAATTGTGGAAGTTTATTGTTCCGAAGAAATTCGAGAAGCAGCCCTTTACAAGAGTTGAGAGAATCGGAGCAAGCTATCCTTCTTGGAGAGAGTGTTTTAGGCTCAAGAGCAGATGGATCAAGTCAATTCTCACTTGCGGAAGAGGGGGAAATTAATCATGAGATTCTGAATGGTTCACTGTTTGAAACCGATTCGGATGAGCTTACCCCGACTTTGCCTAGTCAAGGTGAAGTTGCCAATGTTGGCTTAGATGCAAAAGGGCGATGGACACGTACTAGGGTGGCTAAAGTTAGCCTGTTAATATGCCCATTTTGGTTTCTGGCGCAACTGGCTTTTAATCTCTCATTGAAGTACACTACTGTAACGGTATGCATAATGCAAATTTGCAATGATTGCATCAATTCAGGTTTTACACATGTTCTTTTTCAGGTTTGCGAGATAATTTACTTTCCTTTGTTGTCTGCAGTCTAACACCGTCTTGAGCAGTGCGTCAAGCATTTTCACATTTTTGGTTTCTTTGGCATTCTTGGGTGAGAAGTTCAGTTGGATAAAGCTTGTAAGTGTCCTTCTTTGCATGACAGGAACCATTATTGTCAGCTTGGGCGACTCACACAACAACAAGAATTTAAGAATAATTGCTTCAAACCCTGTTCTTGGAGACGTTCTGGCTCTTGTCTCAGCTGCCCTCTATGCTGTATATGTTACACTTATTCGTAAAAAGTTACCTGATAATGAAGAAAAGAGTGGCCGTGCCAGTATGGCACAATTCCTGGGATTTCTAGGGCTTTTCAACGTATTATTATTCCTTCCTTTTGCTCTTATACTCCATTTCACCAAGCTAGAGTCCGTCAACATGCTATCCCGGAAGCAGTTTGGCCTAATTATAGGAAAAGGTTTGTATTTTATTTTGGCTCTTGTTTTCTTCTCTAGAATTCATGATTGCACAACATCATAGGAAACTGCAGATGTTGGAGACAGCATTATGTATGAATTTAGATATAAGAGGTGGTTCGATGAATTCTATCGTCTCATTTTCTTGATGAAGTGATAGAATTTTTCATTTTACCACCATTGTTAATGCGTTCTCCTAGCACATGAACTTTGTCTTTGTGCTGTTGGCTCCAGTTTTATTGTATCCTTCTCTTTGACGCATTTTTCATACCTGATATCATCTCTTATTTCATCATGCATAGGCTTGTTGGACAATGTGCTGAGTGATTATTTATGGGCAAAAGCTGTTCTTCTTACCACGACAACAGTAGCAACAGCCGGTCTTGCTATCCAGGTGCCATTGGCGGCAATTGTTGATACAATAATCGGAAATGGTCCTCATCTCATGGATTACCTGGGAGCTGCAGCCGTGATGATCGGTTTTGCAGGAATCAACATCCCTTCTGATGTTTTTTGTAGAGCTAAAGAAGGCACCGTTGAATTAGTGAATGCAAGTGTTAGCTTAGCTAATCAAGAGCATACACCATTACCTCGGGAAGAAACAATTTGACTAACATATTGTTGGTTTTATTAAGGTTAATTCTATTGACCATATATTGTTTTCGGGTTGAAGTTTGAATTTTTACTATTTTAATTCTATTGATTTAGTCCCTCTCTCTATTTCAAATTTTAACGAATTTAGTCCTTGTATGTTTTGATAAAAGCAAATTTAGGGACAATTTGGTAGTTGTATTATTTAATTTTTTACCCACAATATCAATCCAAATGATATCATGTTTATTTTAATTGAGAAGTGATTAACATTTTGGTACGTTTTTGTTTACGCTACTTCAAAATTTCTGATTTAACATAGAAATTAGGCAAATTACTAATAGGGAAACACATGTCGACAGTTAATGTCTCAATGACTAAATATTAATAAAATGATAATGTAAGTGATCAATACTTATGTTTTATGAACCCAATAACCACAAGTTTATAAAAATCAAACAAAAGTGACCAAACATGTTATTTACCATAATAATTAAAATATTTTTATAAATTTTCATTCAAATATTTATAATTTAATATTAAAGTTTAACTTGTTAAAAAAACACATATCATAAGGATAATTTGATAAAATATGCATCCAGATACATTATTACTAAATAAACTAAACAAGATAATACAATATTTATAGAGTAATGTTACTTTCTAAATATTGTATAATATTTAAATATTTTTTACACTTTTAGGTAAAAATTTCATATTTTTTTAATAATTTATATGATTAATGATTATTTTAATAATTTTAGTAATGAATAACGTGACATCTTTAAATTCTATCATTTGCGGTTTTCCATTAATTCATTAATAATTTAAAGATTGAAATTGATATGCAACTAAAGCTGCTGACAAAAAAAATAGTTTAATTAGAAAAAGAAAATAAAAAAGTTAAAATACTTCGTTTAGTCTTTCAAATTTAACAAAAAAATTATCCTAAATCCTCACATTAGAAATGTCAAATAGAGATGGAATAATATTTATAAAATGTTTTGATTTATTCCCATCAAGTCCATCATATTGCTGAAAATGGATACAGTTCAATACTTGGTTGCATACAGTGGAATTCATAGCGTGAAAGCCACCCCCAAAATAGAAGGCTACTGCCCCATCGCAATTACATTACGATAGTTAAATTTAAATATAGAAAAATTCAAATCATTTTGTTAATGAAGTCGAGTCATTATTATGAAATGATTTCAATTTGTCCGAATCCAAATATCCATGGCTGCACCTGCAAGGAAGAAAAGAAAACAAAGTTCTTTTTTTCCTTTAATCTTTCCTGCATCTAACTCTGTGGCATGGCAACATTCAAGTGCCCGTATTTCTGCATCACTTTTCTGGTCGCCAGTGCTGCTGCCTCACTAGCTCGCAATGTTCCAGTGGCCATGATGGCGGAAAATTCACGTGATGAAATGATTTCAATTTGTCCGAATCCAAATATCCATGGCTGCACCTGCAAGGAAGAAAAGAAACAAAGTTTTTTTTCCTTTAATCTTCCTGCATCTACTCTGTGGCATGGCACATTTCAAGTGCCCGTATTTCTGCATCACTTTTCTGGTCGCCAGTGCTGCTGCCTCACTAGCTCGCAATGTTCCAGTGGCCATGATGGCGGAAAATTCACGTGTTATCTCCTCTTGGACCTTGGCTCGTGCATCTCCAAGTGGATCTGCTGCAGCTCTACCAGTTTGACATTTTTCCTGTGCTCCAGTCGGTTTAGAAGGTGGCGTTGTCTTGACTTCCTCGGATTTTGGCTGCTCCACAGCCTTCGCCTTACTGTCAACCTCTTTTTTCTGTGTAGTGTTGGCGTACACGTTGGCAGTTGTGGACCGAGATGACAGACTGGATACAGAAGGGGTGAATTGGGGAACTTGAGGAACAGCACCAGCTCTCAAGGTTGTCTCTAAATTCTGTATCATGGGCACTGTAAAAAAAAGGTAAGAGTATTTAACAAGTTTAATTCCAAAAACGATTCCCTTGGGCCATGAAAAGAAAGAAAGCATCTGCATAAGAAAATGGATCACATTCATCGATAAAATTTTATTTTATCAAGCATGTTATTTTGATAATTTTCATGCAAGATGAAATGAAAATTATTGGAAATAACAAATCACTATTTTGGGATGGAAGGTACTTAATCCCGCATTAAAAAAAATGCTACACACATTAATCCACTATAGTTAACATGAAATAGGTTAATGGAGATGTCCCTACAGCATATCTGCCACAGGACATCAACAGACAAATACAATGAAGTAAAATTTAAGGGCAGATAATAACTTACTTAAAAGTGCACCCATGGGGCTGCTCATAACTTCATTAGGCAGCTGCAAGATATAGTCTGGAATGCCGGAACCAACTAGAAATTGGGCAACCTCATTGCTGAAGTTGTTGCAATTGTGGGTAAGCAAACTGTAGGTCTCAGCCGTGTAACGAGGACTAATCTCCTGCAAATACATCTCAAACACATCCTCAGACACATGAGTAACTCCTAAATCAATGACTCTAATCGGCTTCCCATATGATGTTGTCCCAACAAGAGCATGCTGGATTCCTCCACCAAAATAGTATTCCTTACCATAAACCACAACTCCAGTGTGCCTATCAAGCAAACAAAAATGAATAAACCTAAGTCAGCAAATGTGTATCAAGCAATGCAACTGTAAACCTCATTCCATTTCCACGTATACAATGGATGGTGAAAGACATGATGCGAAAAAGAGAAGTAGAATAACTACAACTAAAAAGAGGAGGGACGGAGCATAGATAACCATCAAAAATAAGTTTCCAGCCTGGATTAACATGATGTGAGAAAAACTTCAAACGAATAACAATAACATTCACTAATAAGGCCCAACATATCCAGTATTGAAACTAGGATGCAGCAGATTACGAGTCAAAATCAGATAAAGCTGACTATATGGCTCAAAGAAATAAAACTGGTAAAAACGCAAAACTACCAACAAAATCCTACAAATGAAAGTAACTTTCAAAGTTAAGATAATACGTCCTGTCCCGTACAAGCAATTAGTTCATAAATTAAGTTGTTTGCTTATTTATCTAATACATGCTTCAAAAATTACCAGCCGACAGAGACTCTATCTGTTTATTCACTAACTCCATTTAATTTGGAAAATTTTATCATTTAGTCATAATAAAGTGAGCGTACATGTAGATAGTTGTTTACAAAGTACAGTTATTTGCAACAATTCATAACTCGAGTGACAAGCATCCATCTATACATGCACGAGCAGGGAGAGGTCTTAACAAACTTATTGCAGAAGCGAAGTACTTTTTAACAATTCATGATCTAAAATGTAAGATACATGATAATAAACTTACGAAAATTTTAGACTTCAATAAAAAAAATCTCACATCAAAAAACAATCTTTCCCCTTCAAACTAAATGCTTACCATATCCCCTCAATAGCCTTCCCTAACAAGGTCGTTGAAAGCTGCAGAGCAAGTCCTTGGCTCAAGTCGTACAAATTCAAGGTAACATTATAACCCTCCTGTCATCAATTCAAAGTCCCAATTAGCTCACAGATAGTCTTCGATGCAACATTTACCAACCAAATAAAAGCCTTGTAAAGAATACTACAAAAACAGGTGCAAAAGTAAAATACTGGGAAAGCCCACTAACAGAACAGTGCAAAAATGCAAAAAGAATATAACAAAGGAAAGGAAAGAATCAAACAAAAGTTGAATCAAATGAAGAGAATTAGATACCTCAGCCATGCCTGCAGGTCACTCTATTAACGCTCTTGCTAGGAAAGAAAGGGAAAATAATTATTGCACCTTCTAATGGAACCGACGAAGATGACCTGTCCAGACAGATCAGTGAGAGAAAATTTACAAGCAAAATATATATATATAATATATATATATATATATATATAATCAGGAGAAAGACAAATATGTCACTTTTACTTCTCAAAGCTTTCCGTTTATAAAAGACTTTAACTGCCACTTTAACCAGATCTCAATACATTCAATGGTGTTAAACAACGGCATATATCATGTATTTATCTTTGAAAATATAAGAATTTCAAAGCTAAAATTGCTAATTAACCATATTGATTACACATCATAAATTAAAAGCCCTGGACTTTCACTCGAGATAAGTCATGGCCTTATAGTTCTCAATTATTGGAGATCACAAAATCAAAATTCAGCGCCTTTTGCAATCACGCAATCAAAAGAGATGCAAAAAAAGAATCGAAAGAAACCCAAAATATATATGATCAAATAATTTGATTTCAGCCCAAAAACACGCAACTATCAAAATGAATAAGCATTTGAAATTTGAATCTAGTTTGGTAATGAAACTGTACGGTGAAACGAACCTGAGAGGAAAGAGCGAAAACGCGGAACAACTGTTCCTCTTTTCTTCTTTAAGCCCGTTGCATGAAAACGAGAACCTAGACGTGGGAGTTGTTTTTATAGTTGGGCGGTCGGGTAATTCGGGTTTGGGGCCCCTAGATTTCCCAATAACTCGGATTTGGTTTCGCACTCTTCTACTACCTTCTAGAAAGTACAGTCCACTCATTTTTTGACACGTACTGATTTACTGTTTCTAGATGGTAATGAATACGTGGTAAATAAAACCAGACACTGAACGGTAAGGTTGTCCACGCTGTACACAGTCCGTGCGTGCGCGATGAGCGAGCTTGACTTGGGCTTTAGTCCCTGCACAAAGTCTGAAACATGCAATTCTTGCTTCGATTCCGAAGTTGTTACAGAATGATATTCACATACATCTTCAACAATAAAAAAAAGTTATTTTACGGTTGACTGTTGGTGAAATCCAACAGGAAACTTTTATTGCAGTTAAAGAACTCAAAATAGTTGGGATGGATAATAAAAAAATAAACATATAGTATTGTAACAGATATGCTATGCCAAAATAAAGGCCTCTATGGCCATAACGGGACACTGCCTATTAGTTACAGTATTTCTCCATAGATTTTACTAATATCCATACTTCTACTTAAATCTATTTATCAGGAAATTTTTCTCTAGGGAGATCTATTCACATATCTTTAAGATTTCAGAAAAAGAAAGAGTGAAAGTTTAGAAACTCATAGGATTTTAAAGCACGCGGTTTTTTATTCAATGCTAAGTTCTCCCCTTTACAATACATAAGATCTCCTTTTATAGTCCCAAGGAGACAGACACAACAAACTTATATAATTATAACCCGACAAACTTATATAATTATAGTACATAGGATTCCAAAAAAAGTCTGGTGCTTTTAAAAATAAAAGCTTAACATAATTAAAGTACTATAGTGATATGTCGCTAATAATTAAAGAATTACAATGATATGTCACTATAATCAGTAAACTCGTCTGAAGTGATATTTAGCTCAATAATTTTGTTTTCCTTTTCTTGTTTTCTTCTGTAGCATTCCAACTGATAAGCTTTATACAATGCTTCTGGGTCCATATCCATTTTATTTTTTTCTAGAGCTGGCAAAGTATTTGTCTATTGTGTTGATGAGTGCTCTGTTGGTTGTGATGACTCACCACCTTGGCTGGCAACACTATTCATCCACGGATAATCTTGAGACCATTCTGATGGATCTAAGACCATTTCTTTAAATGCTTTAGTGGCTTCCATTATTGATCTGTAATAGGGTGTCAGAAGTGAGGGGTCACTAGGCCAAGTGTCCCATGGTGCATCAACATCAGGAGGGGCCAGATTTCAATAAGAATTTGTTTGTTTATCTTTCATAAATATCTTTGAAGATATATGTATTGTTGATCGATTTTTCTGACATCATCAGGGTAGATTCGATATATCCATGTTTTCGGTAACGTGCCAAATTACTTTGAAGCTCCATGTTGTAGGAAATAATGTGGTTTGTAGAAGATGATCATAATGTATTGACCTGAAGTCTTTTGTGCTTCTTTATTTACCATTTCAAGCCATTGGGGTAAAAGATAAAACCATTATAGAATAACAAAAATATTTTTAAGTTAAGGATGGATCATTCCTAATTCTGGCTGAGCTGATCCTCTAATGGCTTTGTCAAGAAAATACTGAAGGTATTCTAAATGGAATTGGATGGCTACATGGTGTATATGTGTGAAATACCATTATAACCATTTTAAATCATCTGGTACTTCAGTAAATTCAAAAGAGATTGGGTGGATAAATGGGTAATCGGGATGAAGTCTATGAGGTTTGAGAAAAAAGCCTCCATATAACCTAAAAAGTTCTAACTGGTATTCAAAGATCATATCTCGGGCTTTGGAATGAAATGTTCCTTCTATTACCAGTCTATATACTTCAGGAGGGAATTCTGGATTTAGGTTTGGAGGGATTGAAAAAGTTATTTCTGGTAGTTGAATTTTTGGTTTCTTTGGTGGTTTTGATAAGGAGGAGGACAAAGCTTTATACATCATGATCTTATGGATTTGGTTTTGTGATGGTCTAGACAAAAGATTTGCAAGAACATTAGTTTTACCTTTGATGTGTTTGCAATCAAATGAGTACTTTGAAAACCATTTCTGCCCATCTGAGAAGTTGAGGGTTTGGAATCACCTTCTGCTTGAACTTCAACATTTGAGGGAATGAGGACATATCCATTTCAACTAAGAAATGATTTCCAATAAGATGAAATTCAAACTTAATTATGCCCTTCTTGACTGCAAGAATTTCTTTAAAAGTGGAGTGATAATGAATTTCTGCATATGAGAATCTTCCACTTTTATATCCACAAACATATCGCTTCTGATCCTTTTCTTCCAGAAGAATAACTCCCCAGTATTTTTCACTAGCATCTGTCTGGAATATTATTTTTCCATCTGAAGGGATATGCAATGGTGGTAGTTGTTGAAGTTTTTCTTTAAGTATCTTTATTGCCTTAGTCTGAGCTTCTTTCCATGGAGGAGGGTCTTTTTTAAGCATTTTCCTTAGAGGATTAGTATACATTGAAATTTTGGGAATAAAATCTCGTAAGTAATTTACTATCCCAAAAAATTATAGAATTTGCTTCTCTTTGTAAGATCTTTTTATGGAAATTTGAGCAATTCTTGAGCAATATGAGGTCCTGGATGATATTGTCCTTCTTTGAGATGCATCCCAAGGAACTCAATCTCCTGCTGACAAATATTCATCTTCTTTTCTGACAGCATTATCCCGTATTGTAGAACAAGTTGTTTAAATTGTTCTAATAGCTTGAGATGGGATTCTTCATCTGGGCTGTATAAGAGAATATCATCAATGTAAATGAGAGAATTTTCTATAACAGGCTGAAAGATTTTAATCATCGCCTTCTGGAATAGTGATAGGGTTGTCTTGAGTCCAAATGGCATGACCTTCCACTGGTAGTGATGATTAGGAATACAAAAACCTGTTTTGGGCATGTATGTCGGGCTTTTCCCCAGTTGTAAAAATCCTGCTTTAAGATCAAACTTTGAGAAAATTTGGGCTTTGGCTAGGCTTGAGAATAGTGCATTACTGTTGGGTTATAGAAACTTATCATATTGTAAGAACTGGTTGAGTGGCTGGTAATTTATGACCAACCTAAGCTTTCCTCGTGCATGTTCTAACCTTTTGTTGACATAGAATGCTTCACATGCCCACTGTGAATTTGATGGTTCGATCAATCCTTGTTGTAAGAGTTTAACACATTCTGTTTCTGCTAGCTTCTGATGTTCAGGATTGATCGAACCATCAAATTCACAGTGGGCATGTGAAGCATTCTATGTCAACAAAAGGTCAGAACATGCACGAGGAAAGCTTAGGTTGGTTATAATTTACCAACCACTCAACCAGTTCTTACAAGATGATAAATTTACATTGCCCAACAGAAATGCACTATTCTCAAGCCTAGCCAAAGCCCAAATTTTCTCAAAGTTTGATCTTAAAGCAGGATTTTGGCAGTTGGGGATAAGCTCGACAGACAGGCCCAAAATAGGTTTTTGTATTCCTAACCATCACTACCAGTGGAAGGTCATGCCATTAGGACTCAAGACAGCCCCATCACTATTCCAGAAGGTGGTGATTAAAATCTTTCAGCCTGTTATGGAAAATGCTCTCATTTACATTAATGATATTCTCTTATACAACCCAGATGAAGAATCCCATCTCAAGCTATTAGAACAATTTAAACAACTTGTTCTACAATACGGGATAATGTTATCAGAAAAGAAGATGAAGATTTGCCAGCAGGAGATTGAGTTCCTTGGGATACATCTCAAAGAAGGACAATATCATCCAAGACCTCATATTGCTCAAAAATTGCTCAAATTTCAAGGAAAATATCTTACAAAGAAGCAAATTCTACAATTTTTGGGGATAGTAAATTACTTACGAGATTTTATTCCTAAAATCTCAAAATATATTAATCTTCTAAAGAAAATGCTTAAAAAATATCCTCCTCCATGAAATAAAGCTCAGACTAAGGCAATAAAGATACTTAAAGAAAAACTTCAACAACTACCACCATTGCATATCCCTTCAGATGGAAAAATAATACTCCAGACAGATGCTAGTGACAAATACTGGGGACCGATTCTTCTAGAAGAAAAGGATCAGAAGCGGTATGTTTGTGCATATAAAAGTGGAAGATTCTCAGATGTAGAAATTCATTATCACTCTAATTTTAAAGAAATTCTCGCAGTCAAGAAGGGCATAACTAAGTTTGAATTCTATCTTATTGGAAATGTAACACCCCCAACCCGTATCCAACCTTGATCCGAGTCTGAGGTGTCACATTGACTTTTCAAAACTCTGTTCTTTACAAATCCACTAAAATCTTAATTTCCTCATTTGAGAAAATAATTACTTTACAGTAATTAATACTATAAAATTGTTTTACAAACCATTCATAACATATTCAACTCAATCAATTACTATATGCCAACTATACTCAAAATAACCAAATACATTTAAATCATCTATTTTCTGATCTGAAATTTGGTAAGGGAGATGTTGACCTGTCTTGCTCTTGTTCGCTTCTCTTATCGCTTCTGTAACCTACGTGTGAAACAATCACATGCTAAGTCTATGACTTAGTGTAACACCCCCAACCCATATCCGATCCGGATACGAGTCCGAAGTGTCACATTGACTTTTCAAACATTTATTCGTATAAAATAGTGAGTAATTTAAAAACTTTGATAACATTTAACTTATTTAAAACGTTACAAAAATAGTGTAACACCCCCAACCCATCCGATCCGATACGAGTCCGAAGTGTCACATTGACTTTTCAAACATTTATTCGTATAAAATAGTGAGTAATTTAAAACTTTGATAACATTTAACTTATTTAAAACGTTTACAAAATATATATCAGAGTTCATACAATTTATATCTTTAGACTACATGCCAACTACACTCTATATACAGTACATATATTTTCTGATCTGACATTTGGTAAGGAGAACTGACCTGTCTTGCTCCGCATTACTCTTTACTCTTCTCGAAACCTACGTGTGAAACAATCACCGCTAAGTCGAAGACTT